ACTTTGTGTGCTACCAAACATCACAACATAACTCGGTGATTATAAAGGTGCTCTACAGGTGTCTCCGAAGGTACTTGTTGAGTTAGCGTATTTCGAGATTAGGACTTGTCACTCCGATTGTCGGAGAGGTATCTCTGGGCCCTCTCGGTAATGCACATCACTATAATCCTTGCAAGCATTGTAACTAATGAGTTAGTTGCGGGATGATGCATTACAGAATGAGTAAAGAGACTTGTCGGTAACGAGATTGAACTAGGTAATGAGATACCGGCGACCGAATCTCAGGCAAGTAACATACCGATGACAAAGGGAACAACGTATGTTGTTATGCGGTTTGACCGATAAAGATCTTCGTAGAATATGTGGGAACCAATATGAGCATCCAGGTTCCGCTATTGGTTATTGACCAGAGACGTGTCTCGGTCATGTCTACATAGTTCTCGAACCCGTAGGGTCCGCATGCTTAAAGTTCGGTGACGGTCGTATTATGAGTTTTTGTGTTTTAATGTACCAAAGGTAGTTCGGAGTCCCGGATATGATCACGGACATGACGAGGAGTCTCAAAATGGTCAAGACATAAAGATCGATATATTGGACGACTATATTTGGATACCGAAATGGTTCCGGGTGAGAACGGGAATATAGCGGAGCACCGGGAGGTTATCGGAACCCCCCCCCCCCCGGGAGGTATATGGGCCTTATTGGGCTTTAGTGGAAAGGAGGGGAAAGGAGCAAGGGAGGTGGCGCCCCCCAAGCCCAATCCGAATTGGGAAGGGGGCCGGACCCCCCTTTCCTTCCTCTTCCTTTCCTCTCCTACTCCAAGTTGGAAAGGGGGGAATCCTACTCCTGTGGGAGTAGGACTCCCCATGGCGCGCCCTAGAGTGGGCCGGCCCTCCCCTCCTCCACTCCTTTATATACGGGGGCAGGGGGCACCTCTAGACACACAAGTTGATCAGTTGATCTATTCCAGCCGTGTGCGGTGCCCCCCTCCACCATATTCCACCTCGATTATATCATAGCGGTGCTTAGGTGAAGCCCTGCGTCAGTAGCATCATCATCACCGTCACCACACCGTCGTGCTGACAAAAATCCCCTGTGAAGCTTTGCTGGATCGAAGCTCACGGGACGTCATCGAGTTGAACGTGTGCAGAACTCGGAGGTGCCGTGCATTCGGTACTTGGATCGGTCGGATCATGAAGGCGTACGACTACATCAACCGCGTTGTGCTAACGCTTCCGCATTCGGTCTACGAGGGTACGTGGACACACTCTCCCCTCTCGTTGCTATGCATCACCATGATCCTGTGTGTGCGTAGGATTTTTTTTGAAATTACTACGTTCCCCAACAGCACCGTCATGATCTCCATCGTCACTGGCTTGACACCTTGATCTCCATCGTTGTCGTCTCACCAACTATTGCTACTACGACTATTGCTAACGCATAGTGATAAAGTAAAGCAATTACATGGCGATTGCATTTCATACAATAAAGCGACAACCATAAGGCTCCTACCAGTTGCCGATAACTTTTACAAAACATGATCATCTCATACAAAAACTTATATCACATCATGTCTTGACCATATCACATCACATCAAGCCCTGCAAAAACAAGTTAGACGTCCTCTACTTTGTTGTTGCAAGTTTTATGTGGCTACTACGGGCTTCTAGTAAGAACCGTTCTTACCTACGCATCAAAACCACAACGATTTTTCATCAATTGTGTTGTTTTAACCTTCCACAAGGATTGGCCGTAGTCAAATTCGATTCAACTAAAATTGGAGAAACAGACACCCGCCAGCCACCATTATGCAACAAGTTGCATGTCTGTCGATGGAACCGGTCTCATGAACGTGGTCATGTAAGGTTGGTCTGAGCTGCTTCATCCAACAACACTGCCGAATCAAAATAAGATGTTGGTGGTAAGCAATATGACTATGATCGCCCACAACTCTTTGTGTTCTACTCGTGCATATCATCTACGCATAAACCTGGCTCGGATGCCACTGTTGGGGAAGGTAGCATGCAATTTCAAAAAAATTCCTATGATCACGCAAGATCTATCTAGGAGATGCATAGCAACGAGAGCGGGAGAGTGTGTCCACGTACCCTAGTAGACAAAAGAGGAAGCGTTCGGCTAACACGGTTGATGTAGTCGAACGTCTTCGCGATCCAACCGATCAAGCACCGAACGTACGGCACCTTCGAGTTCAGCACACGTTCAGCTCGATGGTTTCCCTCGAACTCTTGATCCAGAAAAGTGTCGAGGAAGAGTTTCGTCAGCACGACGGCGTGGTGATGGTGATGGTGATGTGATCCGCACAGGGCTTCGTCTAAGCACTACGACAATATGACCGGAGGAGTAAACTATGGAGGGGGGGCACCGCACACGGCTAAGAGAACAACTGATGTCCTTTGGGGTGCCCCCTGCCCCCGTATATAAAGGAGGAGAGGGAGGAGGCCGGCCAAAGGGGGCGCGCCATGGGGGGGGAAACCGACTAGGACTCCTAGTCCTAGTCACCCCCTTCCTTTCTTTCGGAGGGGGGAAAGGGAAGGAGAGGGAGAGGGGGAAGGAAAGGGGGGCCACGCCCCCTCCCCTTGTCCAATTCGGACAACCCATATGAGGGGCGTGCGCCACCCCTTGCGGGCTCCCCTCTCTCTCCCCTATGGCCCATGTAGGCCCATTACTTCCCCGGGGGGTTCCGGTAACCTCCCGGTACTCCGAAAAATACCCGTAACATTCCGGAACCATTCTGGTGTCCGAATACTATCGTCCAATATATCAATCTTTACCTCTCGACTATTTCGAGACTCCTCGTCATGTCCGTGATCTCATCCGGGACTCCGAACAAACTTCGGTCACCAAAACACATAACTCATAATACAAATCGTCATCGAACGTTAAGCGTGCGGACCCTACGGGTTCGAGAACTATGTAGACATGACCGAGACACATCTCCAGTCAATAACCAACAGCGGAACCTGGATGCTCATATTGGTTCCTACATATTCTATGAAGATCTATATCGGTCAAACCGCAATGACAACATATGTTATTCCCTTTGCCATCGGTATGTTACTTGCCCAAGATTCGATCGTCGGTATCCTCATACCTAGTTCAATCTCGTTACTAGCAAGCCTCTTTACTCGTTCTGTGATGCATCATCCCGTAACTAACTCTTTAGTCACATTGCTTGCAAGGCTTATAATGATGTGCATTACCGAGAGGGCCCAGAGATACCTCTCCGATACTCAGAGTGACAAATCCTAATCTCAATCTATGCCAACCCAACAAACACCTTCGGAGACACCTATAGAGCATCTTTATAATCACCCAGTTACGTTGTGATGTTTGATAGCACACAAAGTGTTCCTCCGATATTCGGGAGTTGCATAATCTCATAGTCAAAGGAATATGTATAAGTCATGAAGAAAGCAATAGCAATAAAACTTTAACGATCATTATGCTAAGCTAACGGATGGGTCTTGTCCATCACATCATTCTCCTAATGATGTGATACCGTTCATCAAAGGACAACACATGTCTATGGTCAGGAAACTTAACCATCTTTGATTGACGAGCTAGTCAAGTAGAGGCATACAGGGACACTCTGTTTTGTCTATGTATTCACACATGTATCAAGTTTCCGGTTAATACAATTCTAGCATGAATAATAAACATTTATCATAATATAAGGAAATATAAATAACAACTTTATTATTGCCTTTAGGGCATATTTCCTTCAAAACCAAGACAAGATTACTTAAAAAGACGATCGCTAGCCCGGTGTGCACACTATGGGCAAGCAGTTGGCGTTCAACAGACGGGTGCAAATAAAGGAGGCGCTAAGAAGAGCCGCTATACATGGAAATCATATGATAGGTACATAACAATAGGGCCGACTAGTTCGTGTGCGACAACCATGCATAGAGAAAGGAATAGAAAGAGCGCCAACTATCGAGTTCGTTTCGTCTCTCTTTTGAGCCGCTTGTGGTGAATAAGCTCGACCTGGGCCCTTCCGATCAAGCATTGCGGACATGCCCTTTGTTCGGTCGTATCAACTGCGCAGTTAATAAAAGAAGATGACACAATGACCATCTAGGGAGCTGGGCTGCCGTCATCATGATTTGCAGTGAAGGATGGTCATGTTGTATTCATGTGTCCCATGCATTAGCATTCCCGGGATGGGAAATTCCTCTCTGATTATGTATTTCATATTTTGTTTATCTGCGCTTCCGCTTTGTCGTCCTTAGATGACTCTTTTTCACGCAGCTTCTCCCCCTAATCCACTTTTAGGCCAACCGAACCCGACCACCTTCAATGGCATGTCTATGCGAAGGAAGGAGAGGTGTGGCTGCCTCCCACGTTGGTTTCATCGGCGATGAGGGGGGATGGCCAGGATACTTCGGTAGCTCGGTGGGAAAAATCCTTTGAAAGTTCCAATGTACTTTTTTGTCTTTTTCTTGCCAATCAAGCACTACTACCTTTATTTGCTCGCTTCCAGTGAGGTATCCAAATGATTCTTCTCAACAAATGATGTTTTTGTTTTTTGGTACAGTCTAGCATATTGACGTTTCGATATATCTTTTTCTGTTCCTATGTTTTCAAAATATTGGGTAGATATGAGTTCCTTCGTTACTCTTGGTCGCTCGTCTACTTGTGTTCGCTTCTTTGTGTCTCACACCCAAGAACGTTTGGAACGTGTTTGGTTCAAACTTTTGTTACCCAACATTCAATTACATTGTTACCTGATTCTCATAAACATGTTTGGTTATACTGGGCCGTAAATGGGCACCGCACAAACTAGCACGACCCTACTCAAGCCCGGATTCCCCCACCCCTCACCGTAAATAGACCGCTTTACCGGACAAGGGTGAGAGCGAACCCGGGGCTGCTCGAGAAAACCCTCCGCCGCCGACCCCGTCCTGCCTCTGTCCCAAATCTTCTTCGTCTAGGGGCTACTACTCGCCGAGGCCTCGATCTCCCACCCAAGTTTCTTCATGTCACGCCCACCTTGTCATGGGAAGAGCAACGACGGGGCGGGAAGAGCAACGGCGGCCGCCCTTCCCCTTCATAGACAGGTGGTGCTGGCGCTGGATGCCCCTGGAGCTCAGATCTCCCCCTACTCCACAAGCAACCCGCTGCGGAGGAGCAATGACGACGTTGCGCAAGTAGCGGCGGCGACGGCCGATTCCATCAGGTAGCTTTTTTTTCGTGGATCCAAATTTCGATCTTCGTGATTTCTAATGCATGCGCGTAATATGCTTCAAATTCCAAATGTTGAGATTTCTTCTTAATGCTTGTAATTAAAAAAAACAAATCTAAAGATTTTTTTTATGATTTTCAAAGTTTAACACACGTCTATTGTACAGCAGGGACGAAAGCTGTCAAAAGAACATTAATTGTATTCAATAACAAACTGCCAATTTAAACAAAATAGAGTAAAGAATACGCGCATATACCCCGCTGTCACTTTACTATTTACCATTTATACTTACGTCGTTTCCTTTTATTTTTTACATTACCATTTACGAGTACGCCGCTGGAAACAGACAGAGACGCGACCTCGTCCCGGTGCTGCCAGTCAGACCAGAAGGGGCCACCAAAGTCGTGGAGGGTCAAGCGAGTTCCCAGTTGACTCCCAAACTTTTCCTTCACTCCCCTTCGGCCATCCCCACCGCCCACTTCGCCTCCCCTGCCCCCCGCGCCAGCGCTCCCCTCATCTCCCTCCGCCGAAGCTCGCCACCCCAGAGAAATTTCTCCCCATCAGCCCCGCCGTCGGCTTCTTCTCCCCCGTCGCACTGGACTGGCGTGGAGTCGATTCGGTAGGTTTGCTGGCGACGAACCCTAACCGGCTCGCGTTCTGTTCGCGGTAATCCGAGTGTTCATTTTTCTCCAAGGCGTTCAGTTCAGTTTCTTGCGGGCTCGCGTGGCGGCTGACCTTCCAAGAGGTTCGGCGGCGTTCGGCTGGGCATTGAGGAACCATGCTCAACGTCAAGTCCGAACCTGCAACTGCAATGGATGCAGTGGGGTGAGTCGATTTTGCCTTTTATTGTCTGAAAGCCGCAATGTTCTTTGTGCACAAGAGCACATCATACCATTCAGTTTTATGGTTTTACTCCAAATTTGCCTGTCCACTTCAGCATATGGAGTTCTCTAGAGAACGAGAAGGATGCCATTTTAGACTTCATGCCTATGCGCTTTATGTTTTGTTCAATTTTGATCCTTCAGATGTACATGTACATGAACCCATGCTGGATAAGTTAATTCTTACAATCTTGGCTAGGTAGGAGTAACATGGTGAGTGAGGGTAGAATACATTGCTGTCGGTTGTAACGAGTGTCTGTCAGCCGTTGGACACGGTTTCATTCGTGGCTGGTTGTTTCGGCCTACTCTTAGGCTTCTAATTTATATTCGTTCTATCAATGCATTGAGACGCAAGCTCTGCTTTTGCTCGGGAAGATGGTGAATTGTTTGCCTGACAATAAATTAGAATTCAGATGTACATAAACCCATGCTGGAGAAGTTAATTCAGATGTACAATTATACTCTCATGCTCCTCAATTTTGATCCTTCAGAATTCAGATGTACATAAACAATTGTACATAAACCCATGCTGGAGAAGTTAATTTTTACAATTTCGGCTAGGTAGTAGTAACATGGTGAATGAGGATAGAATACATTTCTGTCGGTTGTAACGAGTGTCTGTCAGCCGTTGGACGCCGTTTTATTCATGGCCGGTTATTCCGGCCTACTCTTAGGCTTGTAATTAATATTTGTTCTATCAATATATTGAGATGCAAGCTTTGTATTTTCTCGAGAGAGAAAAAAAAGAGTAATACAGTGAATTGTTTACCTGACATTAAATTGTAAGCGCAGATTATTTTGAACACTAATGATATAGTTGTGAAGTTGAATCTATCTTCTGAAAAAGGACAGCCTGCATTTTTGCTCACAGATACCATTCTGTAGGTCTGTGCTGGACTTAGTTTCAAGTCACTCAGGATGTTACGCTTTACTATCATTTGAAATGGCATGTCGTTTCTTTTTTGCGAGTGGAAGTGTCATACTACTTCTTTTACGAGAAGAAGTGGCATATAACTTTACTAGACCTAGGGCTAGAATAATAAGGCAAAACAATGACAAAATGAAGGAGGCTTTGGTTTTTATGTTTCCGACAGTCATGTACTTTCTTTATATCCTAATTAACCTGAATATGCCACCTCTATTCCATCTAATATTTTCTTTGCCATAAATATTTGAACCTTTTCTATCGGGAATCTTGTGCCATTAAAAGTTTGAGACAAACTAAATACACATGGGCTTCGGAAAAGACAAATTGATGCTTCCATGTCACCTCAGGACCAAAATGATCATGAATTTTGAACATCTAGATCTTAGCCCATCCTTGACAGAGCACAGTTACTCATTTGTTACAGACTTTATCTTCTGCTTGTTGTTGCTGTAAGAAATCATGAAATATGATAGTAAGTTCTTTGCCTACTCATGTGCAGTGAACCGGAAATTGAGGAGCATGAACAGAAGGTAAACAGATACCAAGCTGAACTTGCAGCCCGCATTAAGGCCAAATACTTCTCTAATAAGGCTTCAGACGGAGGTACTTCTTAAGTCTTCAGCTTCATGCATTAAATAGATTCACCTTAATAGATGTATATAATCACCTAGTATTCTGAACTTTCTAAAACTTGTTTTGATGTCAGATAGGTTGTTATTTTCGTCTGATATTGTAGCAGTTGTCATTTGTTCACAATGCATCAAATTGCTTTCAGAAAAACTGGATGAAATAAGCAAAAGGAATTAAACCTCGTACTTGTATTGTTTAAGTTTTCTTCAGTGTGGGTCAGGACAAATCCTACATATTAGTTGCTATCTGCTCCACAACTAAGTTAAGAGCAGAATTCTATTGCAAATTTTACTCAAGCCTTGTGCGAACAGAGCTCCATACAATTAAGCACACAACCTCTGCGTCAGGCATCGTATCTTGATAGTAGATCTCGAACTATGATGGTGTTTCTATTTATGTATTTTCTAATGTACGACTTCCAACTATGTAGAGGTAGGGTTGATTTAAGCTCATCTGATTTCGAGTGAGTTACTTGGTTCATATTGTAAATGAAAAAATATTGCCTGTCTTGTTGTTTATCTGCCTGGTAATAGGGAAATAACTTGCGCATTTTCATTCACAAGTCAGCCAGATATCGATAACTGAAAATCTAATGGGAGTACATGATTTTGAAATATCTCTATCTGAAGGTCATATTTTAATTGTTAAATTAGCTAACTTACTACCAGTAATCCTAAGTTTCAACAAGTCAAGAGCTATGGGTCCGTGGCTATGTTTTTTGCCAATGAATGATACCCCCCACATGATATTTTGCATATATGGTATGAACTTTGATTGTAATTATTTATGCACAAGCACATGCTATATTTGATCTTCATGCCTAGTTTGTCAATCTATATTGGCAATGATCCATTGTTTCTTAATATGGGGCCATGTGACTTAGCCAGCATTGTAGTCATGGTATATGGTCATTTGTAAATTGGCCCTTTTATATAACAAGTGATTTGATCAACATCTTGAAGCACTATGAATCTATGGTTATGGGAATATACTATTGAAAATTATTAACAATAGTTATGTACTTTATGTTCACATTTTTCTCAGCCATTTCCTTTTTGACTTTACATATACTTCACTAGTGTCTACTAGCAGACTCCTACTTAAATGAATTCTCAGGGGAAAATAGTATAGAAGTGACTTTATTGAATGGGACATCTCATTACTGAGGTGGTCTTTTAGGTCAATTTGCATGTTTGCATTTTTTTCAGAACTCGGTAGTGATCGCTAGTCTGCAAACTTGTGTAAATGACTGATAATTGTGTTCAAATTTTCTTATTATTATTAATTATATGCTGGTCCTTTTTGCTGTTAGACCGTGTCAATGTTCAGTTCCTCATATTTGTTTTGTTAATAGGAAAAATCTTTGAAGAAGAAACTATTGTTGAAGGCGAAACCATCCATTCAAGCAGGTGCGTTTCCTGTGTGCTTTTGTGTAAATGTCTCAAATTTGAATAAAACAATCATCTCCTTTTTCCGTTCTTAGGTGGCCATGCACAAGTTCGTATGCGAACCCGGTAAATTTTCTCCGAGAGAAGAACAACCATGAGAGGAGGGATTCTCCATCTTCAGCAGCAGATTCCTCTGCCAAGAACGATTCTCCATCTGTGGTAGCTGAAGCCTCGCCAAAGAATAATGCAGGTGTTCCGGCAACAGAAAACAATCTAACACCTGCCAAGAGACAGGCATCCAAGGAGACCTGATGGGATAACAGTAGGCTGGTGGGTCGTTGTACGTTCTCCAGTCTGAAGACGTGCAACAACCCGAAGCATGCAAGTATCATGAAATAAAAATCCGTCCAGCAGATGTATGTAGGCGATGCTTGATTCATTTCGTCGAACCGGTTTCAGCGTCTGTTGGGAACAGTTTTTTTGTCTTATGTCTCAAGGTATATGCTACCTGAAGCTTGTTTTTTTAATAAAAAAACTGCCCTGCTTGTTTGTAGGCGATGCTACATTCATTTCATTGAATCTGTTTCAGCATTACCTGTTGCGAAGAATTGTTGTATTTTGGATATGTTATTTGGTTGCTTAGTATTTGTGATAAAACATTAGCCAGCTGCTACTCTGAGTATCAATATGCACTTTGAATTAAGTTTTGCGGGTATCATGCTGTGTTATCCCTCTGGCGGTGAGTGGGGAGAAACCCTAAAACCGCTGCCACCTTCCTTTTACGTCGGGCCAGCTCTAGGGAAGCCGGCGGCACAGTGTTTCCCTGTTGGTCGTTTTCTCCAACTAGCGTGGTGGCCTAGGACGCCCGAGGTCACGAAGTGGAGGTGCACCTCCGGGCCGCGTCCTGGTTCAGCTCTCGGGGCAAGACTGCGATGCTGTGGGTTGTGCTCCGACCAGGATGTGAGGAGCTCCAGGCTCCAGATATCTGATGGTGGGGTGCTTCCATTCCATGATGTTGTCTCGACTGTAGGTGTGCAGCTTCTCTAGACGGAAGTCCTACTCGTTGCTAGTGATGACAAGGCCCGTGGGTGTTATCATATTTCTTTGTTGAAGGTGTCATCAAGGAGATTCGCCCCCTCTCCCGTCCTCTAGTTCTAGTCTTTGGGTGAAAACCTAAATCTGCCTTGTTGAATTGGCTTTGGCTACACCCTTGACGTTGTTTCTTTGATATAGAAGCATCATTTTGGAGATTAAGGGTTAGTTTGGTTGCCTTCCTCACGATTTCGTGCCTGGCCACAAGTGTGCCTGAAACCTGCCTGAGACATGTTTGGATAGTGCCCTGAGCGTTTGACACAATGCCTGGCCTGAAAAAGCTGTCATGATCATTAGCTTGGGCAAATACAGGCACCACCATTAGCCTGGGGCCAGGCGAAGGATTCCAAACGCCTGGTGCATGCCTGGTAACATATTAGTGTTAAAATATTCTGTTGGTACAGTTGGCTCCACAGCTGTACATACCTTTGACCCTATAAAATATTCCCTAATGTTTTTCAGGCCAGGACATCATCCAAACGTCCTCCCCTCAGGCCAGCCTGCCCAGGCATAGAACACATATGCTCCCAGGCCTATTCCAGGCACTGACTTTTTTCAGGCACGGTGCCCAGGACACAAACCAAACAAGCCATAAACCTCTTGACAGGAACACCTGGGTTGCGGCCGAAAGTGGTTGGTCAGGAGCTGGTGGTGATAAGGTGAGGGTGGTGTCTCCGGTGTTTGGGGCCGACCATTGGTTGTCAATGTTGGGCAGAGAGCACACTTGACATGTATGCATCGTTAGACGAATCAGGTTGGCCGCCCTCTCAAGATCGGAGCGACACATGTCCACCTTCTATTGGCTATGTCTTCTCTCTCTGGTGTCGATGAGGTCGTTGAACATGATTGTGGAGGTCTTGTCCTTTGCGATAGGGGCAGTGCTCTTCGGTGAAGTTGCAACGAAGTTGAAGCCGTCAAGGCCTAGACCCGGTTGTTAATTATTGACCGGAAGGTGTTACACGCCATATTCGCATATTATCAAACCGACTGGGTCACATGCTTAATGGTTAGTGGTTTGATAAAGTACTTGGAGATCATAGGAGAACGAGAGAAAGGCACTGAAAGTGTTATGAATGTTTTTGAAAATGTTATGGGAGTGTTTCGAAAGGCCCTAGAAGGTTTGAGAATATTCTGAAAGGGCATGTAACTTTCTCAAAGGTTCTAGAAGGTCCCTAGGAGGGGACCGCCCCTCCTCCAAGTCGCTCCCCTGTCCATCTATAAATAGAGAGGAGGGGCGGTCCCGAAAGACACATAATTCCAATGTTGTGCCTCTCTCCTTTGTGCAATCTTTCTCTCACGCCGGATGACAAAGTGTTGCCGTATCACTGATATGGTACACTTGGATAACAGAGGGGTCGTATGTTCGATTCTCGATTGGGGAAAATTCTCGCAGCTAGGAGGTAATACCTAGTTGCGGGAATCTGCAAATCTTTATCAACATCTACTTCATCTTTGTTGAGTTGTGTTGGTGAGACTGATCTATCCATACATCTTTATAGTGTTCCTGGGTGCGTTTGTATGGATTGTATTTTTTAATTTTGTACTATGTTCCCAATAAAATGGTATATTCCCCTTTTTATTTTTATTTTTTTGTTTTCCATGCACCGTAAAAAGGTGGGAATACAAGTTGCAGCATGATGCGCAGGGTGTGCTCCATGGCGCATCACATGCGTGCCCCGTTGTGCATCACAGGGGAGTACATGTTGCACTACTCGGGTGCACATGGGAGAACAAGGTGCACCCCGCATGAAGCACAAGTTGAACCCAGAGTACACATTACATTGTGCAGGAGGTACATGTTGTGTCGAGGAGTACAAGTTGTATTGTAATAGAAACACAAGTTGCAGTACTCGGGGAGCACCACTTGTAGTACATGGGAGTACAATTTGTTGCGGCATGAAGCACAAGCACATTACTTTGAAAGTGCAAGTTACACTACTCTGAAAGCATAACTTGCAGCAAATGGGACTACATTGCCCGTGGGGGAGTACCACTTTGTTGCAGCATGAAGCACAAGTACATTACAATGGGGCCACAAATTAGTTTTCGATGGAGCGCATAATGTCTAGAAAAGAGTTCATCAAAGCTTGTCAATATGGGATATAATTTCGGAGATCTCGATGTGAGGAATGCAACTATGAGAATAGTTTGAAAGCTCGGTTTAAGAGACATTTCATTTTAAAAATCAGATCTCACAAAAAAAATGTGCACGACACCCTCCCATCCTCCCATGGTGAAAAAATTCCAACAAAACTCTCTCATACCGACAACCAATGCAAATGTGCAACGTCATTTGCCATTATCGGAGTAATTTATGGGTAACCATTTTTATGGTGACTCTGGAGGTAAACCTTTGCAAGGTACCCCATAATTGAGGGTTTTTTGACAATTTTGTTTAGTGAAAGAGATGTCACACCCTATGATTTCATATAGTAAAACCAAATGGTTCAGGTGACAAACTACAGACATGCAGGACCACAAAGGAAACCAACCTAATTACAATCATTTAGATATGAGGGTCTAGATATATATAGCAAAAGGACCAGGCATGAACAACTCCAAGTCTCAAGCCAAGATAGGCTGGATCCCAGACTCTAAACCACCAAGGATTACACTAAACAAGTATGGTAGAAGAAAAAGCGAACTAAAGCATGCATGAAGAGACATCATACATTCGAAGCAACAAGAGGCACCCTAAAAGGGAAGCACCACTGGAGATCAGCCACCAATCCTCAGAACTCCTGGCCGCAACCACTGCGAACCATGATACACCTCATTTGCTACTCACTTGACGAGTTTTGCCCCAAGCGGCATCTCCCTTTCTCCTTCCACCTTTATGTGCAAAATGGACCAATCTGCAATCCAATGACAAATCAGGTTTACGACTGTCATAGATCACTAATCAGTTTCCTCTGAAATACAATGTCATTTCTACGTCTATATATAGTACATAACATTGTTGGCAGAATTACCCTAGTGCAGGCTTGTTTAACTAATATTGCTCTTTTCATGATGTTTTTCAATCCCGTACTTGTTGGGGTTAGAAAAAGCATCGTTCAGCAGCCTCCCTTGCCAACATCAGCATCTACTCATTTTTTATTTATTCCTAACATTAGACTGACGTAAGCCTAAATATTTCACATGAACGGAACCCAACTCGCAAGTAAAAAAATCTTGATACAGATCAGATTTTTCAACGGTACCCTGTATAGTCAAAACTAGACATTTGATCAAAAGTTTTTTTACAGCTATGGTCGAGTAGATCATTATGAATGCCCACAGCTGCGCAAGCGGCCCAAAGGGCCACAACCTAGCAAGAAACAGTTGCTCCCCCCATCTCCCAGCGTTGTTCGATTCGCCCACCGAAATCACTAATTAAGGAATACTTGTTGCAAAAAGCACTTCACTTTCCCAAGTCGCGACAAGTGGCGCACATGCAGCACGCCACTTGTCGCAACCTGGGAGCTTTCCCTTTTTTCATAGATCCGTTTATTCAAAACGTTTTATCTCTTAAACCGTGCGTCCAAATCTCGAACCGTTTTCACCGTTGAATTCCTCGCGTCGAGATCTTCAAAATTAGATCCCATGTTGATAGGTTTTGACGAACTTTTTTTTCACAAAAAAACGGACGAAAAAAACCGGGCGAAAAAACCGGACCGGGAGCATGGTTTTTTCCCTGTCCGAAAGAGGCACGTCCGTGCCTCTCGCGAAATCACAATCGTGCCTCTCGTGGAAGCAAAACCGTGACTCTCGTGGAAGGAAAAAAACAGAAAACGCGTTTTTTTTTCGTTTCCGAGAGGCACGGCCGTGACTCTCGTGAAAGCATAACCGTGCCTCTCGCGAAAGCAAAACCGTGACTCTCGCAAAAGAAAAAAAACAGAAAACGCGTATTTTTTCCCTTTTCGAGAGGCATGGCCGTGACTTTCGAGAAAGCACAACCGTGTCTCTCGCGGAAGCAAAAGCGTGACTCTCCCGAAAGAAAAAAAATAGAAAACGCGTTTTGTTTTTCCCTTTCTGAGAGGCACGGCCGTGACTCTCACGAAAGCACAACCATGCCTCT